CGGTGATGATGTTGACGGTGGTGATGATGATGATGATGATGATGATGATGATGATGATGATGATGATGATGATGATGATGATGGTAACAGGCCGCCGCGCGCTCATGCCATTGGAGATGCAGCAGCCTCCCTTCCAGCACCCCCCCGCCCCGTGCTGAGGCGGAGGGCCTTCCGACGGCACCCCGCGCATGGCCATGTTGTGGAGGCGATGCTCTGGCGTGCGTGCACCGCGCGTTTGACAGAGCGGCGAGGACATGGCATCCACAGGCAGTAGCAATGACGAGCAGCCAGCGCATGATGGGGCCGCACCCAGACGATAAACCAGCAGTCCGTGCTCTCCGAGGGGCTCTTCGAGACTCTGCGGCACCACGGGATCAGGGACATACATCACAGCTCCCACACGGCCAAGTCCAGGATCCCAGACGTGAGCCTCCACCTCCAGAACGACAGCGCGGCCAGGACATCAGCAACTACGACCCCCACGTCCGACAGCGTAGCACCACGGTCAAGCCGATCACCATCATGGGCTGGAATTCCTTCTCATTGGTCGGTGGCCGAGGCAGATTGGATCACATACCAAACACGAGCCGCTCCATCCAGTTGCTACTTTGCGTGGGGGCCTAGATGCGTCAACGCGTAACCGATGCCCCGCACCATCTGGAAAATTTGTTTCATCACATTTGGGGGCATTTTGGGCGGGGCAATGGCGCGCACACCAACAGTTCAGCGGGGTGCAGCACTGGAGTAGCAAAGTAACATTTTCGCACGATGGACACCGGCACGATTCTGCATCCGCCATCGGCCAACCTCCGCGGCCGAGCGGGAACGATCGAGATTCACCGAGGACAATTACGCGTACGATTGGTTGTTGCATGCTTCCCCCCACGCCCCAGCGGCCCGGGTCTCAATCATACAAGGAAGCAAGGATGTCGACGACTATGGGCGTGGGTCTTAAGTACGATGCAGGAGACGCCGAATCGAGTCACATCTATTTGATTTACTGACCTTAATCAAGGGCTTGGGCGGCGCGCTCGACAGTTGCATGGGGACACATCTGTGGGCCGATTTCAGGCCAGCGACGAGACCGAGTTCAGCAGAAACATCCACGACCAGCTAATCACCAACGAGCCTGTAGCCATCAACGCGCACACGGACGTAGGCTATACATGCTACGGGCCCAATCGTTCCCGCTCACGCGTCGACTATTTCAGTGGACCCAACACCATGGAAAGTGTGAAGGATGTGAGATTCATTTGGAAGCTTCATTACCGAATACGAAGTATTGTCCATGCAGCCGACGCAACCCCGATGATTATGCAGCTCAAAATTTCCAGATGTGGCTCATCACTTATTTCTGAGAAGATTCGATGGGACTTTGGCTTACTTGCGGCAGGTTTGCTGGCGGGCAAGAGCCGAGAGTCTTTCATCGCCGGCGTGGCGCAGAGGATCGAAAATATACTGAGGCCTTCAGAGTAAGTAAGATGGATCAGTTCCCGACGCGACACAATGCCTTACTCGCGCACGTTGTCAGGGATTGCGGCAGCAAGTATTTTTCCTTGGAAGGAACCCGACCCCATTGGCACCGACAGGCACGATTTGACCGATTAGAGTTGCTAAAAAACGAGCCCATGATCGCGCGCATCGTCTGCCATTCAATTCTACTGCGGTACGAGACATACAGCGACAGCCACGAGCTCATCAAAGATGGATGAATTACTTGTGGAAGGAGAGTTTGGTTCAAGATGCCCCGAGATCTCTTGCGAGTTGCGCGCGCCACTTATGCGCGAGCGGGTCGCCGCACGGGCCCGAGACGAAGATCGCATTTTGCATTGCCCACGACGCGCCCGGCTGTTCAGGAGTGCGCGGCGGCCCTTTCCGAGGCTGCTACTCCGGGTGGCGCGTCGGCCTCGCCTTCGCGCGCCGGCCTCCTTCTCTCGACGACCCGACAGCCGCCGCGAGGAGGTTGGGCCGCATTAGCGACCCGACGCCAGTCGGCGAGATCACGGGTGCCCCTGACACAGCAGACTTGGAAGCAGCCGCAGAGGGGCTCGAGCGCATGCAATGGCGCATTTGGACAGAGAAACGCCGCAGGTACAATCCGCCGTGGGCTTGGCCTATCGAGATCACGACCATGCTCGTGAGCCCGCAAAATCTTGCGAGGCCAGGCCATCAGCAGACGCGACTTGGGATCGCCGGCGCCGACGACTTTCGCGCGGGTCCTCTCGCCAAGCGCTTACATCAGCCTCGCAAGCGCAAACTGACGCTGGATCAGTCCCGCTGCCATCTCATCGCCCGGGCCCTCATCAACCAGCTGGCCCACGCGCATCGCTGCGAGCCTCTCCCAGCCCGGGCCTTCACCAGCCGCGCCGCCGCGAGTGGCAAGAAGGGAAAAAGCACGACGGGCAACGCCATCGTAGGCATTCACACATGCGTTCGACTGCTACATTGCTTTGATCGTGGTTGGTGACTGCATCTCCACGTCGGCCTCGTCCAGTACGGGGCGCCACATTCACCGCCATCGCCTGCGTGCGGGGGCATCTACTCCCGTCGACGTGAGTCTTTGATGTTGGTAGCCAAGCTGTTGACGCGAAAACTGAGGGCTGCGCATCTGTCTCCCATGGCAAACTCCTGCGACATACGCAACGCTTTCGCGACAGGCTGCCACCGGGGGCCCACGGCTGCACGTGCTGTTCGATGTGACGACGAACATCCCCACCCACTCCTCGAGCAGCACCGCGCCAATGCCGCAGTGCACCTTCGCGCTCGCCTATGGGCTTCGCCGCGGGGGAGCGTACCACGACCTCCCCCACCGCCTCCCGAGGCCCATGGAGGGGAAGCGCCGCGGGCGCTGTGCGCCAGACGCCACGCTGAAGCGCTACGGCAAGCAGACGCGCGTGGTCTCGGAGCTGGCCCGCGCCCCCCCGCTGGTGGCGCGGCACGTCAACCTCGTCTCGGAACAGCTCGGTGCCGCGTTCACCCGCGCGGCCGTGCCGCCGCTTGCGCTGGCCTCGAGGCGCTGCTGAATGACCGCCAAGTGATCGCCCGCCTGCGCCCGTTGCCATGGCTGCTGCTTCTCATAATCGCAAGCAGATGTTCCTGAGTTCTTTGGCGGAACCGATGGGCTCAGCCGAGGGGTGAAACATCTTGGGTACGGGGCGAACGCCGCCGATTTCGTTTCTCGTGCATGGGTTGATCTGGACTCGCCCCTCATCCTGCGAGCCCTCCTCGACTGGGTCTCTTTGGGTGTAGTCCTGGCCGCGCGGTAGGGGGCGTGACGCAACAGCTGGTCTCAGGCCTGGCACGGGCCTCCAGACGGCAGCTGGTGCAGGCTCCGAACGCCCGACGCGATCTGGGGTCTTCCAGGCTTGGACGGCCGCGCCCTCGCCGCTATCAGCCAGCTGCTTCCCTTCCTGAAAATCATTCGGGACTCGGGATTGCGAGCGCCAGGGGATTCCCGCCTTCCTCGAGAACCTTGCCTCCTCCTTCCTCTGGTCTGCCCCTCCGCTCGTCAGACTCCTCTCCCCCCTCATCGCAGAGCCTCGTTTTTGATGTCTGTGGATTCGGGACGCGGTGGAGGAGACGGACCCGGGTCCAAGGTTGGGTTCACGGTTTCAAGATCAGGCGGCCCGAGTTGTGCAATGCTCGTGGCGGTTTCTGCACCCACTCGCACAAGCATCACATTGTACTCGCGGCCAAGGACCCAGCCTCAGGCAAACTCCTGGATCCAAGTCGCTCAGAGTAATTCGCGTCGGATGGCCTCGATTGTCGCCGCTGCTATTATGCACTGCGTTCAGGGCCTCACTTGGCCCGCCTCCAGCAGTTGATCATGTTCTAAACAGTTTTGACGTCATTTGGGCCAGAAGCTTTCCTGGGTGTTGGATATCTTCCTCTCCCTCCGTTTCTGGTCGGTGGTGGTGTCCTCCTTTCTGCTCCCTTGCCTCCTCCGCTGCCAGCCGATCCTCGGCACGAGCCGGTCCGTTGTCGTGTGCAGTTGCGTGGCCTTCGAACACAAAAGCGATTTCTGGCTTGAGTGGAACGCTGGATGGTCGTTCTCCGAGGCTTAATCCAGAAACAAGATGAGAGCCGTCAGATACGTGAGCCTAGCAGGGGCTACCATGTGCATTTGCCTTGTAGCGTTTTCTCTCGCCCGCCCTCCCTTCCCTTCCTCTCCCTCCGCGCCTGGTCGGTGGTGGTGTCCTCCTTCCTGCTCCTTTGAATATTCCGCTGCTGGTCGATCCTCGGCATGAGTCGGTCCGTCGTCGTGTGCAGCTGCGTGGCCTGCGAGTACAAAGCGATCTCTGGCTTTGGTAGAGCGCTGGGTGACGATGATGATGACGATGGTGATGGTGGTGATGATGATGATGCTGCTGATGATGATGATGATGATGATGATGGTGATGAGAGAAAATAGGATTAGAGGAATGATGATGAGGGGCAGGACAAGTTCAATTGCCAGCCGAAAGCTAAAAGTGGGGGGGCGGCAGCATGTTGGAGGTCTGGGGACGCGCGTCACCCGCCCAGCTCGGCCCTTTGTTGCGACGCGGGGCCTCGGGCGTGCCAGGCCACAGGCCGCGGGCCTTCGCGCTGCACAGAGGCACTCGGGCTCGCGAGATGGACCCCGCAGACCTCCAAGGCGGCCCCGAAGTGGCCACTGAGTGCTCCCGACACGGCCCAGAGAGGCCTCCGAGTTCGGGCCGCGAGCGACTCCGTCGCAGGTGGCGGGCCGCTCGCCGACATACCTCCCAGGCGCCCTGGGAGGTTCGCTGCTTGGGAGCTTCTGGGGCCGTGGCGGGAGGGGGGGGGGAGACTGGGAGCCGCGGCGGAAGGTCGGGGAGGGCCAGGACCGGGATAAATCGTTCCTGAACACTCTGGCATGCTCTCAAAAAGCGCCCTGGAACGGCCGCGGCACCTGATACATCCAGAGCTCAGAACTCGTCGATGTGTTCCAGCCCTGGCTTCGTCGGAGAGGGAGGGGTCGGAGGGAGGGAGACACGGGCGAGGCCCGTGCTGGAGCTGCCGCCGAAGACGGAGCGCGTCCGGCTGGTGGAGCTGCCGGGCGGCGACCGGCGCGCCTACGACAGCCTCTGGGGCTTCGCCGCCAGGCAGGTCGGAGGCGACGGGAGAGATCGAGGGAGATGCCCGCTGCGCTCGCCCACGGTAGGTTCGTGTCGTGTCGACCGGCGGCGACCCCAGCGCGGGCGTTCAAGGTTGAACGCCGCCGGCGACCCAGAATCGGTTGATGTTGACGGATCGGACGTCTCGGAAA